GGAGCAGACGGATCTATCCACTTGTATCTTGGAGTGAAGTGAATCAGGAATAGTCTTGTGAAAAGACGCTAAAATACACTGCATATCCTGCTGATTAATGTGAACCTGTCGTCTTTAATTGATAGCCAGCACCGTTATTTGAATATCAGTGGCTTAACATATTGAACCTGAAGACGTTCAATAGGGTTGTTGTCTTAGTATAATTAAGTTTGTAGTGGTAGGTAAAAGAAAAGAAAGCACTTGACCTTAATGGCAAAGATTGTACACAGTTCTAATGCTTGAATTACGAATGGTTTCGAATCTTTGTGTTAAGGTGTTTAAAAACCCCATGTACGCTGATCGACCTACAGAAAGATTTGGCTTTTGCCCATGGTTTTGTGCATGATGGATGTTAAGCTTGTGCCGAAGTACAAACAGTGCCAAAGGTGGGAAACATTGCTAAGAGATCATTTAAGCACGCACAGTTTATATTTCTGTGAAAAGTCGTGTATTCCGTTATACAGTATAAAAATGAACAATCTACATTTCTTCAATATCCCTTATCTTAGTATTGTTGGAAACGAGTACTGAGCGTTGAGGTCACCGGCCACACTCCAACATTTTTATCCAATTTGCTATGCATGATTGAAAGTGGTTATACTCGCACAAAAAGAACAAAAAATATCAAGTATAAAGAAGAAATAATAATTTAATTACTCGAAAAAGACGTATACAAAGCAGTTACTACCCCCTAGCTACAATATCCCACCTATAGATGATGCCATCCGGAAATGACGTACATTTATCACTACAAGACGAAGTACGTGCTTCTTATCGAAAAATAAAATATTATAATTCCAATTTTTATGAATTGACTGCGTTTTCTACGTTTTGATTGGATATAAATGGTCAAGGGACACTGATTTGGAATTTTTTTTACACATCGATAAATTCTGCGGACCTGTATCCAGATCGTTTCATCTGAAGTTTTATCTGTATAAACACTCTAAGGATAATAACAACAAGCTCCTACCCATCCACTCCTGTGACTTTAGATAAGAAATGACAAGCTACAGATTAAAATCGACCATTAGAAGTTAAAACAATGTAATTGCATAGACCTTCCTGCACTTTAACGCTCACCACTTTTACCGAAGAAGGCATATGGCAGGCTTTAGAAGCAATCTTCCGAAATTATTGCATATCACCTCGACAACATGTTACAGCAGTAGTTGCTAAAGGTCAGGGTCATGTCAACAAAGGGGTCTCACTAAACGTGGACACAATTTTGCTTTTGAAAGATCGAAATGCGTAGATAGTAACAACGACGTTGCTATAACAAACAACACGTGCCATACGCAAGCGTAATTTTCAAAATAAGGGAATAATCCTGGTTTAACCGCAACAACCATGTTTCACATATTAATATAATGATCATAACAATATATCATTGGCATAACCCGCTATGACATTCTACCCCGTGTCACGGTATATAGAATCAATTAATCTTGGCTAGCGAAGATAGGGCTATCTAATCTATCGCAGTTAAGAGGCTAATGAAAGAAAACTTAGAAGCACATAAAAGTGAATGTTTTGTTGATTAAATTTGCTGATCTAATATGTTAGAATAGAAGTAAATTGGAATTATAAGGATTAAATGATCATGGTTGGGTATTTATCAATGTTTAAATGTTATCTAATCACTCACAAAGATTACATAAAATTCTTTTGACTTTATTTACTGATTGAGTGATTAGGTAATATTTACAAATCGATAAATACCCAACCATGATAATTTGTTCCTATAATAAATAATGGATAGGGAACATTTAGATGAAACTACTGAAAACTAATTTACTGTTCAGCCTTATAACGATATGCTTGCGCAACGCACTAGATTGTGTCGCTTTCAAAACTGTTCAATTGTTTAAATTTATTATGAAAATTCCCGTTAATACAGGTAAAAACGAATCAATGATGCCTTTCTGTATCGGCTGACTTTATTTATTTATTTATTTTTTTAAAAAAAAGAAATTCGGCAGACTTAAAGGAATCAAAAGGAACCAAACGTTACTCCCATACCTCGGCCGACTTCATAAGAAAAATCAGCACACTTAAAAGATAGCAAATTAAGTTTTCGGGGTTGTTTGCTTTGTAATAAAATAACCTTTGTATTTGTATCCTGTCGGAAAGTTTAAGGAAAGAGTTATTGCTCGCTCCAAATTGTGTTTATCCATCATTTGGGCTTCTATTTGTTTCCTAGATCTGATCATAATTTATGTTTGCAGGGTAAATAGTATACACAATAACATGGTTTAATAACACTTTTGCAAACCATGTTAGGGAAAAGATTATCAATTGCACTCGCAGTGGATGTATTTTAAAAATAATGATTTTTATTTGCGAGATACCGTCATATAGTTATCCTGGATACAATACAATCTTGGTAAGTTTGCACCGTGTAACGTCAAAAGTGAAATGCAGTTGCCTTCAAGCAATCGGGTGATATTTTCGTCTATTTTGTGATTTTGTTATTTGACATAAGCGATACACACTACAGTAAGGACGCATCCAATACATACACGGAGTTCGTGGGTATATTTTTTTATTTAATAAATTTCGCATGATGAAAAAAGAAGGAACAAATGATAACAATACAAGGTTAGGTTTTTTCTTCATTTGATTTTCAAATTAATGTATATTTATCATTTTTGTACCTTGCAAGGGGGAGGGATGGCCAAACATTCAACACAAAAATTAATTCTTTTCTTATTTGTATGGAATAATGGAGTTAAAAAGATTGACGATATTGACTATTGATGACAAGCTTTAAATGTACGCACGCACACACTAAGACAACTTGAAAAATAAAAACAAACAATAAAATTAACTGGTAAGAGCTTCATGATGCAGCAACACTGACTTAAATGTTCAACATTAGTCTCTCTCTCTCTCTCTCTCTCTCTCTCTCTCTCTCTCTCTCTCTCTCTCTCTCTCTCTCTCTCTCTCGTGTAACTGAGTGTGTATTATATGAGGCAGTGTTACAACATGAAGCTTCAAATTAAATATATTTGTTTTAATATCCCATGTACACTCTCCTTAGAAAAAAATGTATGCATATTCTGTAGAATATTATTTATTAAGTTTTATTGTTTAACAAATGAATATTGATAATTTGACCAGAAGAATAAAGTTGAGAATGTCGTTGTGCAGATGCATATATTTTTAGCATAAAGAGTATATAAATATTTTAATTAGAACGAGCAAGATTTCTGTTTGTGTCTCCTATCATTTATATGTACGTTGCAACGTATGATTATTTTCTCTGAAAGAATACCAATTTCGTTTAAATTTAGTTTTTCTTAAAACCTATTCCTAAAACGTATCTTACATATTATATACTTGTTATTTTAAGAAAAAAGAAATTGTTCAAACTATTGTTAAGTTGAGCTGAATTGTCTTTCGAGTTGGACTGAATTGTTTTGGGCCAAATAGACTCTAATTCGGCATCAATGATACAACTTTCCCGTCCCCTCACTCAAGTCTATCTCACAACTTGAAATCGCTTTTTCTGGTAACAGGGTTTTTCGGAAAAAAAATGAATAGTATTTTTCATCGTCACTCTTTTGGTTACATCCATATGCAACACAGTGCACCATATTTGCTTTACAAAAGCACGATCGTAAGATATATCATATAAATATTACGTCGGGAAATAAAAAACACTTGAATGGCTAGGCTCCATAGAAGGGATAAATGTACTTCATATCCGTGTTTGGCACGCGGAAACTACCGATTTTTTCCGGAGATTACCGAATATTTTTTTTAATTAACAAAAGTTGATTTTTAAGTCTAATTAAGCATTTTCATGATGTACATACATACCGAATTCATTTTGTTTATCACTATAATAATATCACATGTTGTACAATATAGGTGGCCGGTGACCTTTAATAAGCTCCAGTTGCGTCACTAGCATGTAGTTTCGCTTAGCAAATCCAGCATACCTTGATCATATTTAGCTCGACTTTTTGCATATTTCTTGGTTGAAAATTAGCTTCAAAACATTAATTTCTTCTAATAATCTTTGAAATCAAATCAGTTTCTATTGTTTTTCAAGCACAAGAATACGTTTCCTTAATACAGAATAGCAAGAACAAAATCTGTGCAAATTTAAAACGATTTCCGTACTGTGCAACGAAAAATTCCAGAAGCCAGAATAATCCAATCAGTTTTGATTGCTTCCTGGACGTTTTATAAAGCATGAGAAAAGCAGAAACCACTATAATTTGTTCTGTTTCAAATGCATTCTGGCAGTTTCCGTATCACAAAATATCCTAGTGAAAACCCATCCTTACTGACTTTTGTACCAGTCATGCCATAAGCAAGTAGATAATTCATTGTGGTTGTAATCGGTGTTAGTTTTGTTATGATTACCAACACTGATACTGTCTGTGACTAGTAATAAGGATGGTATTGTATGATACATACATATCATCTCAAAAACAGTAGAAAACACCACAAGGTATTACAAATCTTAAACAACCTGAATGCCGACATCAAGAAAACATTTCTTCGACAAACAACGAACAGTATAACACGTTCATTAGTAATAAACATGGACACACTGTACAATTGGCAAAGCATAGGACAGGGTCCATTTGCTATGATTGCGCCTGGACCATTATATACATACATATAGATACATATATTGATGTAAACAGCAAGAGTAATAGATATGAATAATTTATGAAGAATTAAAGATCTACCATTTCATGTGGTAGTGATCTTGTATCGAAGTTTAATGGCTTCAACATTTTGATGACATGCAAACATTTGTGATTAACAAAATCTGAGAAGGAAAACAAAACAAAACATAATATAGCAAAGAATCAAGAATGATAAATTGTGGTTGTTGACTTCGGGAGCTGGCAGCACAGAAAACATTGCTACAAAAGTCGAAGCTATTGAGTTGCAGTATACGGAAAGAACCTTAGGGTACCGCTGCATTCTAATGAAAATGCTCTGGTGGCAAAGTGGTTAGAGCGTCCGCCTCGGATGCAGGAGGTCACGGGTTCGAACCCCGGCCGAGTGATACCAAAGACATTTTTTAAAAATTTTGCTAACAGCTGCATCCTTTAGCATTAGGAGGTTAGTGTTAGGAGTGGTTGGCCTGTTGTCAGGATAATGTGACTGGGTCGAACATCATACTACATGTCTGTGGCAAGATTCACAAGTGCTAGGCATCACTATAAACTGTAACACTGCAGACATCATAGCGATGTGACTTAAAGATTGTTAAAGCTACGTTAAAAATTTAAATCACAAAAACACACACACACACACAAACACACCCATTATAATGATGATAGATCACTGTTCATTGTGTCCTTCATGATTAAATTTTTTAACATTACAGTGTCAAAAGCCTATGAAGTGATAATAGTGGTAACCAGGCTATAAAATCTCTATTCTTTGATAGCAAGTACAGGAATGGAATTTCTGTCTATTAGGAATATATTGCATTATTTTATACTTAATTCATCACCATGAGTTTAAAACAAGTTTGAGACTGTTTTAGAAAGACAAACTAATTCAGAATATATTAATTAATTAATTGATATAATCGGTAATAATTCCAGTGGTAGTACGTCACCCACCATGTTTCATTGATATAATTGATACAAATTCCAGTGGTAGTATGTCAACCACCATGTTTTATTGATAGAATCGATACTAATTCCAGTGGTAGTATGTCAACCACCATGTTTCATTGATAGAATCGATTCTAATTCCAGTGGTAGTATGTCAACCACCATGTTTCATTGATATAATCGATAATAATTCCAGTGGTAGTACGTCACCCATCATGTTTCATTGATGAAATCGATACTAATTCCAGTGGTAGTACGTCACCCACCATGTCTCATTGATAGAATCGATACTAATTCCAGTGGTACTATGTCACCCACCATGTTTCATTGATATAATCGATACTGATGTGACAATGATTTTTAACGTAGCTTTAACAATTTTTCAGTCATATCGCTACGATATCTGCAGTGTGGCAGTTTATAGTGATGTCTAGCACTGGGGCATAATGCCGCAGACATGTAGCATGATGTCTCACCCAGTCACATTATCCTGACACCAGGCCGACCAGTCCTAACACTAACCTCTTAATGCTGAGCGTCAAACGTAGGCAGCTGTTAGTACCATTTTTGTAAGTCTTTGGTATGACTCGACCGGGGATTGAACACACGACCTCCCGCGTTTGAGGCGGACGCTCTAACCACTAGGCCACCGGAGCGGTTAAGAATCGATACTAATTACAGTGGTAGTACGTCACCCACCATGTCTCATTGATAGAATCGATACTAATTCCAGTGGTAGTACGTTACTCACCATGTTTCATTGATAGAATCGATAATAACTCCATTGGTAGTACGTCAACCACCGTGTTTTATTGATAGAATCGATAATAATTCCAGTGGTAGTATGTCAACCACCATGTTTCATTGATATAATCGATAATAATTCCAGTGATAGTATGTCACCCACCATATTTCATTGATAGAATCGATACTAATTCCAGTGGTAGTATGTCAACCACTATATTTCATTGATAGAATCGATAATAACTCTATTGGTAGTACGTCAACCACCGTGTTTTATTGATAGAATCGATAATAATTCCAGTGGTAGTACGTCACCCATCATGTTTCAAAGATGGAATCGATACTAATTCCAGAGGTAGTATGTCAACCACCAAGTTTCATTGATATAATCGATAATAATTCCAGTGGTAGTATGTCACCCACCATATTTCATTGATAGAATCGATACTAATTCCAGTGGTAGTATGTCAACCACCATGTTTCATTGATATAATCGATAATAATTCCAGTGGAAGTACGTCACCCATCATGTTTCATTGATATAATCGATAATAATTCCAGTGGAAGTACGTCACCCATCATGTTTCATTGATGAAATCGATACTAATTCCAGTGGTAGTACGTCACCCACCATGTCTCATTGATAGAATCGATACTAATTCCAGTGGTACTATGTCACCCACCATGTTTCATTGATATAATCGATAATAATTCCAGTGGTAGTACGTCACTCAACATGTTTCATCGATAGAATCGATAATAATGCCAGTGGTAGTACGTCATACACCCTGAATACTACCATGGAGAAAACATTCCTTAAACAAACAACAAACATTACAACTGAGAATATAATGCATGGTACAAAATACGAATGAGCTAACGCATAGTAAGGTATCCAACAGATCCAAAGAAAAGAAAAGGTAGATATGCAAGGTATTTACATGTATTGGTTTCAGAAATTCAGAATAATACTGATGAGAACCAAACTAAATATATACTGTTTACAACGAATTAAGTTTAAATATATACTGTTTTCAAGGAATTAAGTTTAAATATATACTATTTACAACAAATTAAGTTTAAATATATACAGTTTTTCAACAAATTAAGTTTAAATATATACTGTTTTCAAGGAATTAAGTTCAATTACATACGTGATTTTCCATTTGAGATCTCATTTCTGTGTATTTTTGGGGAGTCTGATAGCTGCAACATAACGGGTGGAGTTGATCAAAATGATATAAAAGGTGTTATTTTTTAAATAGTACAATTATTGAAACGAAAGCCAAAATACTTTCTAGAACTCACAATATGCTCAGCTAAGAAATGCAAAGACTCGTCTATTAGCCAAGCAATCACGGGATGCAATAATGAAGGAAACCGCCGAAAGGTAACAATAACATAAAGGACATTTAATTAGTGTACAGGTAACAATTACAGGTAGGGCTAGTAATTAATGTACGGGTAACAATAACATATAGGGCTGGATGTGGAGAGTCAAACTATTTTAAAATATTTTTCGAAATATATACTATTATCATATCATCAAATATTCCTTCCTCAGGAAGGGTTTGAAGAAAAATTTATACACAACTATAAAATCTCTAAACGCAAAGAACCGTCAGACATTTCACCACAACAAATCAGTATGGCTGAATTTACATACTACATCGAGACTAATAACATGATGAATTGGATAGCGCCTTGTCGCTGTAAACCAAGCACCATTTTTGATACCTCCTCGTCTCTCTAAACCAAACAAAGATTTCCATTTTCACACGGAGATGTTAACTGGTATACAATTGATGCATTTAAAGCATCTCGTGGCATGATTTAATATGTTGTTACAAAATGGGAAATGCATACTTTGCACAATATTGTTTGAAACAGAATACAGACGCCTCTTTGACTACATTGTCCTAATCTTTCTAACCTTTATGCACAAGATTTTCAGCAGAGAATTCAAAGAAGAAGGCAATCAATCAACAATGTCCAATTTAGCAGCAGTAATTACAAACTGTATGTGCTGGCAGAAATACCATTAGGTCATAGGGGACCCATTTGAGACTGTTGCGCTTGTGGTAATCATTGATTTCAAGAAGAAGATGCAGATGAAACGTGTACGGGGTAACAGTGTGGTAACCATGGCGATTAGCAAAGATAGCCGCAAAACTAAATGAAAAATGAAAAAGAAATGAAGTTTGGATAATCGTTTACATTGTAAATTGTAGAGTAGCCATGTACAAGTGTGCTTGAATTATTAATTGGTACAATCATGTCAGAAACAATAAACGCAGACTTAAATACCGTAATCTTGTATATCTCATGATTGATGATATGATGAAATTTATCTCGTAGTTGATTTATAATTTGGTTAAATAGCCAATCTCAGATTAGTGTTTTGTAAGTCCTAGGGGCATAGAGCATGTTTTTAGAGCCACAACATGTTTGTATTGGAACACCACGTAATTCATCTTCTTAAAGTTCTGGAACGTCCTCTTCATATGAGGAAATCTAATATAATATCCTTTCATGAACATATCTGTGTCTTAAAACTGTATGCTATACTTTATGTGATTGTGAAGGTTATCCGTCTCTACGTGAATGCATAAGGAATCCGTATCTGTCCATTGCATCCTCATTTCCATTGATCAAGGAACATGGTTAAAGTCGTACATTGAACTGAATATGACTCAGAGAGAAAGCAATACATTCCTATAAAAAATGTTTTGTTGTTTTGTTTTTTTTTTTAAAAAAAAACTTATGTGAGATTATGTGAGATTGTGTGTTTAGAGTTCAGATGGAAACCTAAGCAAGATACTTAGAGAAAAATATCTGCTGGATAATAAAAAAGTTCAGACAGCATTAAGATGTAGGATTTGCATGGAGATCTAATGTGATAAAGGTTTAGTGTTGCATGAAAAGCAAAAATTAAATTGGCAAAGGATATTTTGGAGGACATACTGTGTTAGAGCTAGGTGAGGTATTTCTGTGCCAATTTTGGAGAAAATACAGTGTCCGAGTTAGGCTAGCTATGTACGTGACAATTTTGAAGGATGTAGTGTCCGAGTTAGGCGAGATAATGCTTTGCCAATTTTTATACAATAATATGTTTGTAATCGTCTCCTTTTCATGTTTGCAGTTGGAGCATATATCATTGTAGTTATTTATTGCCAACTTTGAAAGACATAGTGTTCGAGTTAGACCAGATATTGCTGTGCTAATTTTGAAAGACATAGCGTTCGAGTTAGGTGAGCTATGTTTGTGCCAATTTTGCAGGATATAGTGTTCGAGTTAGTCAAGATATTACTGTGCCACTTTTATTACAATAATATATTTGTAATCTTCCAATTTGCATGTATGCAGCTGGAGTAAAAATCATTGTAGGCATTTTATGCAGCATATTTTATTCAATGCAAAATTCGCATTTAATTGGTTTTCATTGTGATTGTATATATATATATATATATATATATATATATATATATACATACATATATATATACATATATATATATATATATATATATATATATATATATATATATATATATATATATATACATACATATATATATACATATATATATACATATATATACATATATTGACATTAAAGTGAGGAAGTCTATCAGAAAGGACTCAACTGACTGCAAGTTTGGAAATTTATAAAATGCTGATGTATAAATATATATAT